TAATCATATGAGAAAAGGGCATTTAAAAAGAAATTTAGTAACCCTGATCCTGTTGCATGTCACCATAGGGACACCTCCCGTTTTGTCTCTATGTAGGTTTTACCTTCTATGTGGATCCATCATAGAAGTTCACTGTGATGATCAGTTCTGAAAAAAGGGTGGAACCAACAGTGTTATGCAACCTCTCCTTGATTTCCTTCTGGAAAAAGTCTGAGCAGAAGCAGTATAGATAGTTGAGCATGCTATGGCATAATATAGGATCAAAGAAATAACTGTAACACCAAAGAGGAGGCAGCAAGCATATATAACTGACATCCCCAGCTGTTGTTTGGAAAGTAGGCATCCAAGCTTCACATTTAGTACCAAGAAGGAACAGAATGCATACACCTATACATGAAGGGAATGATTGTATAGGATCATTTGTGTAGGGATGATCCTGCCTCAGACATCAGGTTGGACTAGATGACCTCTGGAGGTCCCTTCCAGCCCCACTTCTCTATGATTCTGTGACTTGACCAGAGACAGTATGACAGGTATGAAAAAGGCTTTTCTCTGTGCCTTCAAAGTTTGGACATACTGCTCCTGTGTAATTTCCTGTTCCAAATATGCATAGGCTTTAGACCATCTTTGTTGTAGTCTCGTCCTTTTCCTCAAGCATGTAAGGACACACATGAATCTTTCCTTTAGCATTGATTACTGTCAGTCAGTTTAACATTCTGTCTATATATAATGGTGTCTGCATCTTAGTATAAATACGTTTCTGTATAAAAAGTCTTTGAATTTTTGTGTGTTGGATTCAACTTCAACATATAGCTCTCTGTTTGTCTGTCTGTCTCTACAGTATATTTTTGCCTTTCTGTCTAATCCTTACCCACTGTTCTGAGCTCACTGCCTGGTATTTAAATATTGCCTAAATAAATGAATTCATATTCCTTTGTCCTAATATAGGGTGTGTTCATGCAAAGCTTAAAGTTACAGAAAGTGTAAAGTGCTCAATCAATTACATGAATGTTATTAGTATAACATGTTAACTAATGAGCAGTGTTCAGTAGGACAGGATTAGATTAGATTAACTGGTGGATCAGCTGCACATTCATTAGTGAAAAAGATATTTCCCTGCACTGCAGTTGAACATCATGGAGTGAATGTAATAATAGATAATGTACAGGAATTACACAGTTATTCTTGATACTCCTAAGGAATTGAAATGGTAATCAAGCTGAAATATCAGAAATTTGCAACTGGTAAGGAAGTGATACCTCTAAATGGATCATTATAACAATTTACCCTGATTTTTTGGATTGTCAGAATAAGGAAACAGAAAAGAGGAGTGTACAATGTATCTGTCATGCTGTCAAAAACAGGAAGGTATCCCCTTTTCTCCTCTTTAGAGATCCTGTGAAGTACTCCTACAGATAACCATCTTAATTATATTGATCTTTTGGGAAAGGTAATAGGGTTAGATAATAATGAGCTGTGAGCTGAGTAAATGCAGCTATAATTCTTGTACTAATATTTTTCTGAAGTCTTTTCAATTATCAAAAGAGCAAAGTACATCTATTATAGCATTCTCTCTTTATTGGTGTCCTTTTGTCTATATACTCTTGCTGTTTTGCCAATTTGTGCTTGAATTTAAATATAACTTACATTGTTATAAATGCTAGAAGGGAGAAACTCAGTCCAGAATTTGTCTGCTTATGCATGAGATTTTTTTTAGACTTTTCTCTGAAATTATTTTGTGATAGAAGAGCCTGCATAAAGAGTAAGTGGCAGAAATGCTACTATTTTCTCTGGTGTATAATTGTGGTTTCATATGTAAAGGGCAAATGCAGCCTCTAATAAATAGGCTCCTTCTGATGCGCCATATTGTATATGAGATCAAAGGTATGAGCAACATAGAGTAATCATTTTAAAGAGGCTTCTTCTTTGGCTGATATACAGGATTGTTAACCTCAGCCATT